ACTGTATATACAGTATAAGGTAATTTTTCACATCAAAAGAACACAAATACTACATTCACACTGCAGCTAAGTGTGACCTTAATCAGATTTTTTTTGCCTATACGCAGCTCGTATTGGATTTTTTTTCCTGACAGTTTGAACAAGACAAATCTGATTTTTCTGATCCAGGCCTTTTAGTAAATCGGATACATATCTGATGTTTTTCAAAGTGATCTCAAACTGGACGCTCATGTCGCATTACGTCTGACTTGTCCTTCAGCAAGGTGGGGGTGAGCGGATGGATCCAAGTATTTCTAACACTGATACCAATCTTGTGCCATTTCAGTCTTGTAGCTCCACGTCTTCAGCTACAGAGCAGAAGTCCAGTTGCTTCGTCTTTGTTCCTTTTAATTTTCTGTGTCCTGGATGACTGAGACCCCACAGAAACACATGACATTAACGTTGGTTAGTAAAGTTGCTGGATTGARAATTCAGTTTTAGCARGCAGCCATAAATGCATGCTTCACRAGAGGAATGAAAATGTAAKCAGTGAACTAAACAATCATGTCAGATATTTATTTAATCGGGTCTGATTGCACAGTTTCACAACCACATGCTAACGTAGCATCCAGGTTTAGCTACGTCTGCAAACAGTGAGCTGAATGTGACGTCACATCGTCACACCAGTGCAGTGAGGGGTTCACTCTGGATTCAGATGGAGGTCACATTTAAAATATAATATAAACATTTTAAAAAATCAGATTTTTGCAAAACATCCAAATTGAGCATTAACACCTGCAGTGTGAATGTAACCATCTCTTTGGATTTACCTGTTCTTTTTTATGTCTGCCACCGTCTCTACCAATCAGTCTTGTAGATTTCTAAAGATGTGTGATTAATAGTCATGTGAACAGGAGGAATTTGAAGAAATTTATTAGTCATGTTAGATAATGATTTTAAAAGCACTACACCATTTCCATAGTTTTCCTTTTTAAGAATTGACTTTTATAATCCATTGTTTGACAATTGTCATGTCTTGATTCAAAAAGTTTAGATACATGCCTGAAACACCAACACAACACATAAAAAACCATTAATCAAACATACGGTAAGAACAGGTCTTTTTGTGTGATTGTCTGCAATTCAGCCGTAGGCCAGTAGTGGGCGTACCAGGCACTGAAGAGCATGTATTTATGTGCCGGGACTTACGGTTTTGATTCAGCGTTGGCTTCTTGTTTGCACAGAGAACATTAAACCACCACTCATTCCAGTCACCGGTGTTGTATAGTCCTCTTCTCTTCACATTTTAATCTATTCAACATTTATGTGGTTTCGTCTCGATTTCKGTTAACGAACACTAGATTTTCTTACAGGGGTATTTTTAAATTCTTGAGCGTTACACAGGTCACTTCATTTTTACCTCCTCTCTGTCTCCTCAGGCCTCTGACCGTGAAATTGTGTGGGTGATGCGAATCACCATCTTTGTGTTTGGCGGCCTCGCCACCCTGATGGCTCTGGTGACCGGCACCGTCTACGGCCTCTGGTACCTGAGCTCCGATCTGGTTTACGTCATCATCTTCCCCCAGCTGCTCAGRGTGCTCTTCGTCAAAGGCACCAACACGTACGGCTCCGTGGCCGCGTACCTGTTCGGCCTGCTTCTGCGCATAGGTGGCGGTGAACCGTACCTGCAGCTGCCCCCTTTCATTTATTACCCCGGCTGGACGACGGAGCTGAAGAAAGACCACTTCACGGGGAATATGGAYGAAATCGTTATACAGAAGTTCCCCTTTAAGACCGTCTCCATGTTGGCCTCGTTCGTCGGGAACTTTGCCTTCTCCTACCTGGCCAAGTACTTGTTTGAGAGCGGGAAGATCTCTCACAAGTACGACTTTCTGGACGCGGTGGTGTCCCGGCACAGCGGGGAGATAATGGATAAAACGACTCTGGTGGCTCGGGGCAACAACATCGGGCTGTCGGAGATGGTGTCCGTCAAACCGCGGCTGAGCGTGACCTTGGCGGCCGCCTTCGCCCGCCGCGACACGCTGCCCGCGGAAACGGTGGAGGAAGAGGAGGAGGAGTCCAGTCCTGACTCCTCCCACCACGAGGAGGAATGACGACGTTCGGATTTCATTTAGAGAACGAGGGACAGCCATGAGCGCCCGGCTGAACTGGACGGGAGCCGAAGGACTATAACAGGGGTGGGCAATCCTGGTCCTCGAGGGCCGCAGCCCTACAGGTTTTATGATTTTCCCTGCTCCAACACACCTGATTCAGACATCGAAT